GGGGGAGGAGGAGGAAGGAGAGGAGGAGGAGGGGGATGAGGAGGAGGAGGGGGATGAGAGGGAGGAGGAGGAAGAGGAGGGAGAGGAGTAGGAGGAGAGAGGAGGAGGGGGGGGGAGGAGGGGGAGGGGGAGCGAGGGGGAGGGGGGGGGAAGGACAGGCGACCGCCTCGGCCCGAGTGCCGGCGGCGGCCATCGCCCCGGCGGCTTGCGGCATGGGCCCCGAGAGCACCCCCCTTCTGGCGAGGAGCGGGCGGCGACCCGGGGTCGACGCACCTCCACGCGAACCGCCCCTCGCTCCCACCTCCTCCCCCTCCTCCTCCGCCTCCTCCTCCTCCTCCTCCTCCTCCTCCTCCTCCTCCTCCTCCTCCCCCTCGTCCGTCCCCCTCCTCCTCCTCCTCCCCCTCCTCGCTCCTCCTCCCCCTCCTCCCCCTCCTCCTCCTCCTCCTCCTCCCTCCTCCTCCTCCTCCTCCTCCTCCTCCTCCCAACTCCCCCCTCCTCCTCCTCCTCCTCCTCCTCCTCCTCCTCCTCCTCCTCCGCCTCCTCCTCCTCCTCCTCCTGCCTCCTCCCCTCCCTCCTCCTCCTCCTCCTCCTCCTCCTCCTCCTCCTCCTCCTCCTCCTCCTCCTCCCTCCTGCCCCTCCTCCTCCTCCTCCTCCTCTCTTCCCCCCATCCTCCCCATCGTTGCCCCCCTTTGCTTTCGGGCCCAGTGAGCAGGGACCGACCGCCCCAGCATTCCTACAGGCCTACCACGAAGCTTTCTCAGAACCCACAAACGTTCCCATAACAAAAGCAACGCACTTAGGACATAAGCCCGATGCGTTTAAACAAGACAATCTCAGACAGACATGTTCTAATAACACTTCGGACAGACCACAAAAGATTCTTAGAACATTCCTTGGTGGGACTATAGGCGCACCAGGACGCTTCGCCACTGCTTGAAACTCAGCTCTCTGGCGCCCGTTCGGGACGATCCAGGCACCCCTGGAACGCCCTCGGCAAGGCGCAGCTGCTGCAACGCATCCCGAGGCTTCGATCGGGCGTGTCCCCCTACAGGCGGATTTGGACGAACAATGAAACATACACAAAACATATTCTTCAAACATAATCTAAAAATCCTCTCCACATTATTTTTTAACTAGCTTTGAATATTCCTCCTGTAGAGGGACAGGCCCGACTTAACCTAAGGCTGGAAAGTCGACAAGGACCCACGGGCACGCCCGCCCGAAAGCCCCGAACCTCGATCCCCCCTGAGCCTATCCCCCGCCTCTAGAGGCCTCCTAGATGGGGTCCGAGCAACTGGGGTCGGAGGATCGCACCGCATCGCCAATGCATCGGCGACGCATCGTCGACGTCGGCGATGTATCGGCGACGCCGGCGTGAAGAAAATCTGGCTCCACATCGAGCCGCATCGGCGATGCTCGGCGATGCGGCGCGATCCTCCGACCCCACACTCTCGGACCCCATCGAGGAGGCCTAGAGCCATCCCGAATCGTCAGACAGGAGGGTTCACTCCTCCTCCTCCTCCTCCTCCTCCTCCTCCTCCTTCTTTTCCTCCTCATCCTCCTCCTGCTCCTCCTCCACCTCCTCCTCCTCCTCGCTCCTCCGCCTCCTCCTCCTCCTCCTCCTCCTCCTCCCTTTTCTCTTCCTCCTCTCCTCCTCCTCCACCCCTCCTCCTCCTCCTCCTCCTCCTCCTACCCCTCCTCCTCCTCCTCTCCTCCTCCTCCTTCCACCACACCTCCGCCTCCTCCTGCTCCTCCTCCTCCGCCTCCTCCTCCTCCTCCTCCTCTCCTCCTCCTCCTCCTCCTCCTCCTCCTCCTCCTCCCCTCTCCCCCTCCCCCTCCCCTTCCTCTCCTCCTCCTCCTCCCCCCTCCTCCTCCTCCTCCTCCTCCTCCTCCTCTCCTCCTCCTCCTCCTCCTCCTCCTCCTTCGACCCCATCGAGGAGGCCTAGAGCCTCAGGGCGGCGGCGGCGGCGGCGGCGGCGGCAGCGGTGCCAGCGGCGCCGAGCACGAGGCAGCGACGGCGGCAGGGCGGCGGCGGCCGCCCGCTGCGGAGAGCAGCGCCACGGCGAGGTCTGCGGCGGGGGGCAGCTGCGCCAGCCGGACCTGGCCAGAGGAGCTGGGCAGTGCCAGAGGGGGGGTCACCACCTCCTGGATGTCGGGGATCGAGGAGGAGGAGGAGGAGGAGGAGGAGGAGGAGGAGGAGGAGGAGGAGGAGGAGGAGGAGGAGGAGGAGGAGGAGGAGGAGGAGGAGGAGTGTTTCCCCCGGGGCCCCTTGGGCCCTCCAGAGGCCCCCATGAACAGTCCAATAGTGGCGCAGGAAGACACGCTGGACCTGGGGAGACACTGTCGGCGGCACGGAGCTGCCCAGAGCTGGACGTGGAGTAGCGCCGGCGGGAAGGCAAAGAAGAGGAATGGACAGGAGGAGGACGACTGTGGGGGCGGGAGGGATACTGACAAAGAGGACGAAGAGGAGAGAGGGCACTGAGGAGCGGGATGACAAGAAAATGGAGGACGACGAGGAAGGTGGAACAACTAAACCCAACATGCGATTACGATGATACAAGACACCCTCCCTCCCAAGTCCCCTCCTCACGCCCTGGTATCCACTTAAACAACGTTTGTTTTATGAACAGCGGACAAAGCGAACGTCTCACAGGCATACCATTCACGCGAAAGCCTCGTCTTGAAACTACATGGTACTGAATCGTTGAATCGATATCGAACAGTACAGCATGCGACATAATATGATATCCAGCGGCATCACCTTTTGAAAAGTCGTCACCCTACTTGTATACTTCTAACCATGATATTCAGGAAGCCTCCAGCGCGACCTCCAATTTGAAAAGAAGCCACCTTCCATCCGTGCAGCTGATACAAGCTGTATTGCGTTCGAAGCATAGAAGTCTCCGCGGAGACCCCAGCTTTAGAAACGAACCGCGCTGCATCCCTGCAGGTGTGTCGGAATTGTTGAAACGGCTGTGCGCGCGCTAAAGCAGAAGCCGAAGGTTGAGAAGGGCCGCCCTCCATCCTCGAAGCGGTTGCAAACTTCGACGCCGCATGTGCGCGGCGTCCACGCGATCTTCACTTGGACGAGCGCTCGCCAACTGTTTGCGAAGAGTGCGAGCGGCGCTGAAGCGAGAACCCCGATCTGAAGACGACCCCGTCCGCCCGCCCAGCTGTGGCAAGCGCCACGCTTCCGGCACCACGCGTGGCGAAGGCGGCGCACGCGAAACGCCCCACCTGCTTCGCCGACGCGTCCGGGGACGGGACACAGAGGAGGGGAGGCGTCGCGTCCGCCTTTCGTGAAGGGGCCCTGGGACACACACACACACACACACACACACACACACACACACACACACACACACACACACACACACACACACACACACACACACACACACACACACACACACACACACACACACACACACACACACACACACACACACACACACACACACACACACACACACACACACACACACACACACACACACACACACACACACACACAAATATACACACAAAAAAAGATTCCCCATCTTTTCCTATATTTTCTGGGATTTTGTCTTCCCCACCACTTCCCATATTTTCCCATATTTTCTGGGGGATCGACGATCACTTGTGTCTGTGTGTTTGTTCCCTCCTGATTTCGGTCGCTCCCCCCTCTCCCTCTCCACCTCGTGCGAACGGCTACCTGGCTCCTCTGCCGCCCTCGACCCCCCCCCCCGTCCCGTCCGGGGCGGCAGACGGCCCCAGCTCCTCGACGAACTCACCGGCGCCCCGCGTTGGGCACCAGGCGGAGAGGATGACATGGCGGAGGAGGAGGAGGAAGGAGGAGGAGGAGGAGGAGGAGGAGGAGGAGGAGGAGGAGGAGGAGGAGGAGGAGGAGGAGGAGGAAGGAGGAAGGAGGAAGGAGGAGGAGGAGGAGGAGGAGGAGGTGGGTTGGCGGCGGAGAGGAGGAGACGCCGCCGGCGTAGACGCTCCCCCAGCCGCGGTCCCCAAGCCGCCCCCTCTCCGAGCGGCACGTAGCGCCGGCAATCGAGACGCGCCCGGCCACCGCCTCAGCTTCGGCGAGACCGCGACGAAGCGGGCGTGCACCTCCACCGCGTCCCAGTAGCCCAGCCGCGGCTGCCAGGAACGCCCGGCCAGCTGGCCGCCCGGCTCGTCGGCCACAGGTGCGGCCGCTGACGAACACCAGCACGCAGGCGACGCCGCCGCCGCCGACGACGTTGATGCCCACGATGGCGACGCCGACGCCGACGACGACGTGGTGGTCGTTGGAGGTCCCGTGGAAGTCCCCTCGACGGAGGTCCCAAGATGGCGCCTGGAGGCCTTGAAAAGCCCGAAGAGGCCAAAATGGGCCCTCGACCCCCGATCCTCGAAGGCAGGCGACGACGACGACGACGACGACGACGACGACGACGACGACGACGACGACGACGACGGTGGCGACGGCCAGGAGGACTGCGAAGAGAACTGCGACGACGGCCGATCGCCCGCTCGGTGAGCGGCCCCCCTGCTGTGCAAAACAGGCGACGGCCGCGCCGCCGGCGGGCGACGACGACCACGCCGCGCCGACCGAAGACGCCACCGCCGCCAGCGACGGCGCCGACATGAAGCAAACGGGTCCTGGGCCCCACCCAGCGGCGTCCCCTCGGGGAACACAATACCAGGTACCATCACCACCCTGGAAGCTTTCGGCGGTCCGCCAAGGTACGCACGAACTTCTTGGATCGGCGCGGACGAGGACGAGGACGAGGACGAGGACGAGGACGACGTCGGCGACGGCGACGGCGACGGCTCTCGCCGACGGCGGGCGACGGCGCACGACGGCGGCCGCGACGCGGCGGCCGCGACGCGGCGGCGGTCGGCGGCGGCGGCCGACGGCCCGCGCCGCCCTGCGGGCGACGGCGACCGCGGGTGGCGGCGGCCGAGGACGGCCGCGGCGTGGCGGCGGCGGCGCCGGCGGGCCCCCCGACGGCGGGCGGCGGCCCGACCGCCCCGTCGGTGAGCGGCCCCTCGCCGACGTAGACGGGGTGCCCGCAGACGGTCAGCGCGCCGCGGAGGGGCCCCGGGGCGCCTCTCGCTGGGCGGCGGCTGGGGGTGGCGTCGCTCGTCGGCGGGCAGCGTCGTCGCCGTCCGTCCGAGTCGTCGCCGCCGTCGCCGTCGCCGTCGCCGTCGCCGTCGCCGTCCGCTCCCACGCCGTCCTCGTCCTCGTCCCTCGTCCTCGTCCGTCGTCCTCGTCCTCGTCCTCAGTCCTCGTCCTCGTCCTCGTCCGTCCTCGTCCTCGTCCTCGTCCTCGTCCTCGGTCCTCGTCCTCCTCCCTCCCCCTCCTCCTCCTCCTCCTCCTCCTACCTCCTCCTCCTCCCTCCTCCTCCCCTCCTCCTCCCCTCCTCTCCTCCTCCTCCTCCTCCTCCTCCTCCTCCTCCTCCCCCTCCCCCTCCCCTCTTCCCTCCTCCTCCTCCCTCCTCACTCTCTCCTCCTCCTCCTCCTCTCCTCCCTCCCTCTCCCTCCATCCTCCTCCTCGCGCCTCCGCCTCCGCCTCCGCCCTCCTCCTCCTCCTCCTCCTCCTCCTCCTCCTCCTCCTCCTCCTCCTCCCTCCGCCTCCTCCTCTCCTCCTCCTCCTCCTCCTCCTCCTCCTCTCCTCCTCCTCCTCCTCCTCCCTCCTCCTCCTCCTCCTCCTCCTCCTCCTCCTCCTCCTCCTCCTCCTCCTCCTCTCCTCCATCCTCCTCCTCCCTCCTCCTCCTCTCCTCCTCCTCCTCTCCCTACTCCTCCTCCTCCCCCCTCCTCCTCCCCTCTCCCCCTCCCCTCCCCCTCCCCTCCCCTCCCCCTCCCCCTCCCCCTCCTCCTCCTCCTCCTCCTCCTCCTCCTCCTCCTCTCTCCTCCTCCTCCTCCTCCTCCTCCTCCTCCTCCTCCTCCTCCTCCGGCGCGCGGAGCAAGGAGGAAGGGGAGAGAGGCCCCCCCCGCCCCTCGATCGCCTCAGCGGGCGACGGACTGGAGCACGCCGAGGGCGAGCTCCACCTGCGGGAACGGGGAGGGGAAGGGGGCAGACGGCGGCTCCCCTACGCGGGACGCCGCACATTCGCCGACCCTTTCCGCTGCCTCCCCCGCCCCGCGGTGCAGGGCGCATCCGCCGCCTCGACGAGCCAGCTCGGAAGCGCACCCGCCGCCCCGACGAGCCGGGCGCCCACGCGGGCGCGGGCCCACGTCGGGATCACGAGATCAGCGCGGCCCGCAGTTCGGGCCCGTCGTCGGCCGCTTCGGCGGCCGCGCCGACCGCAGCAGCAGCGGCCGACGCGGTCGCCTCCTCCACAGGCTGCGCGGCGCCCCCCCCCCCCCCTTCGCCGCCGAGCAGCGCTCCAGGCGACCCACGACTGGGGGACGCCAAAGCCAGCACCCCAGCAGCATCGTCGCCAAGCACGGCGGCGGGCGCGCCAACCGAGGGCGCAGGGCGAGACACGGGAGTGTCCGCCCAGGCGTCGTCCTCCAGGCTGCTGCAGCCGTCGTCGCCGTCCATGCCGCTGCCGTCGCGACCGAGGTCGGGAGCGGTGGGCTCCACCTGCAAGCCAGCGCCGCGGCGCTTGCGAGCCCGCCGCCGACGCCGCCGAGGCCGAGGGTCTGCAGGCGACGCGGCGTCCGCGGGAGCATTGCCGTCGCGGTGCGGCAAAGGCCCTCCGCGGCTCGAAGCAGCCGAGCGGCCGCCGAGCCACGGGCCAGGCCCGCCGCGGCGTGCACCGCCACCGGGGCCCTGCGGGCCGCCGGGAGCGCAGCCCGAGCATCGAGCGCCGCCATCGGAGGCCCGCGGCGCACCGCCCGACGGCGGCCCTGCGGCGGCGGGCTCGACGCGGGAGCGGCTCCTTGAGCCAAGATGCCTTGAGCCAAGTGGCTACGGAGTCCTCCTCCTCCTCCTCCTCCTCCTCCTCCTCCTCCTCCTCCTCCTCCTCCTTCTCCCCCTCTCCCTACTCCCCTTTTCCTCCTCCTCCTCCCTCCTCCTCCTCCTCCTCCTCCTCCTCCTCCTCCTCCTCCTCCTCCTCCTTCCTTCGTCCTCGCTCGTCTCGTCCTCCTCCTCCTCCTCACTCTCGTCCTCGTCTCTCCTCTGCACTTTCCCTCGCCGCCTCCCGCTCCTCCTCTTCCCGCCTTGTTCCTCCTCCCCCCCCTCCCGCGCCCCCGCTCCACTTCCTCCCTCCTCCTCCTCCTCCTCTCTCCTCCTCTCCTCTTCCTCCTCCTCCTCTTTTTCCTCGTCCTCGTCCTCGTCCTCCTCCTCTCCTCCTCCTCCTTCCTCTCCTCTTCCTCCTCCTCCTCCTCCTCCTCCTCCTCCTCCTCATTCTCCGCCTCCGCCTCCGCCTTCTCTTCATCCTCCTCCTCCCCCTCTCCCTCCTCCCCAACCCCCTCCCCCTCCTCCTCCTCCTCCTCCTCCTCCTCCTCCTCCTCCTCCTCCTCCTCCTCCTCCTCCTCCTCCGCCTCTCCTCCTCCTCCTCCTCCTCCTCTCCTCCTCTCCTCCCTCTCCTCCTCTCCTCCTTCGTCCTCCTCCTCCTCCTCTCCCCTCGTCCTCCTCCACACTTTCCCTCGTCCTCCCGCTCCTTTTCTTCCCGCCTTGTTCTTCCTCCCCCCTCGCGCGCTCTCCCGCTCCTCTTCCTCCTCCTCCTCCCCCTCTTCTTCCTCGTCCTCGTCCTCGTCCTCGTCCTCCTCCTCCTCCTCCTCCTCCTCCTCCTCCTCCTCCTCCTCCTCCTCCCTCTCCTCGTCCTCCTCCTCCCCCTCCTCGTCCTCGTCCTCCTCCTCCTCCTCCTCCTCCTCCTCGTCTTCTTCTCATTCGTAGTATGATTATTATTCTTAGTAGTCGTCGTCTTATTCGTTTCGTTCTTCTGAGTATTACTACTATTATTTTTATTATTAGTATTATTTTTATGATTATTATTATTATTATTATTATTATTATTATTATTATTATTATTATTATTAAATGTTATTATTAAATGTTATTAGTATTATTATTGTTATTATTATTAGTATTATTATTATTAGTATTCGTATTATCATTATTATTATTATTAGTATTATTATTATTATTGTTGTTATTATTGTTATTATTATTATCATTATTATTATTATTATATTATTATGGTTGTTATTATTATTACTATTATTATTATTATTATTATTAGTATTATTATTATTAGTATTACTATTATTATTATCAGTATTCGTAGTATCATTATTCTTTTTCTTCTTAGTCGTATTAGTATTAGTATTCGTCTTAGTGTTATTCGCCGTATTCTTCTCATTAGTCTTCTTAGAATTATTATTCCTGCTCCTCCTCCTGCTCCTGCTCCTGCTCCTGCTCCTGCTCCTGCTCCTGCTCCTCCTCCTCCGCCTCCGCCTCCGCCTCCGCCTCCGCCTCCGCCTCCGCCTCCGCCTCCGCCTCCGCCTCAACCTCCGCCTCCGCCTCCGCCTCCGCCTCCGCCCTCCCTCCGCCTCCCGCCTCCTCCTCCTCCTCCTCCTCTTCCTCCTCCTCCTCTCCTCTTCCTCCTTCTCCCCTCCCCCCTCCTCTCCCTCCTCCTCCTCCTCTCTCCTCCTCCCCTCCTCCTCCTCCTCCTCCTCGTCCTCCTCCTCCTCCCCCTCCCCCACCCTCCTCCCCCCCTTCCTCCCCCTCCCTCCTCCTCCCTCCTCCTCCCCTCCTCCCCTCCCTCCTCCCGCCTCCTCCTCCTCCGCCTCCTCCCCGACCTCCGCCGCTTCCGCCGCCTCCTCCTCTAAGTTTTCCTCCTCCTCCTCCCTCCTCCTCCTCCTCCTCCTCCTCCTCCTCCTCCTCCTCCTCCTCGTCTTCTTCTTCGCCATCTAATATTTCTCATTGCTAGTCGCATTCTTATGAGTAGTGTTCGTATTACTCGTTTCAATCTTAGTATTGTGTTAATTAGTTTATTATTATTATTATTAGTAGTAGTATTATCAGTATTATTGTTTTTAGTATTAGTAGTATTATATTGTGAGTATTACCACTAACATTAATATTATCATTACTCGTCTTAATTTTAGTAACATTGTTATTATTTTCTTATTATTCGTCTTCTTCTTCTTCTTCTTCTTATTATTATTATTATTATTACTACTACTATTAGTATTACGACCATTATTTTTCTAAGTATTAGTGATCTTCTTATTATCATTAATATTATAAATATTATTAGCCTTATTAGTATTAGCATTCGTATTCGTATCATTCTTACTGTTATTATTATGGTACCTATTCCCTGTCCTCTTCGCCTTCCTCTTCTTCATCCTCTTCTTCTTTCTTCCTCCTCCTCCTCCTCCTCTCCCTCTTGTTCCTCTTCGTCCTTGTACCCCTCCTCCTCTTCCGCCTCCTCATCCTCTCCCTCCTCCTCCTCCTCCTCCTCCTCCTCCTCCTCCTCCTCTTCCTCCCCTTTTTTCCCTTCTCGCCGTCGACGTCGGCGGCGTCATCGTAAATCGTCGTCGTCGTCATCGTCGTTGTCGTCGTCGTCGTCGCCGTCGCCGTCGTCATCGCCGTCGTCGTGGTCGTCGTCGTCGCCGTCGCCGTCGCCGTCGCCGTCGCGGTCGCCGTTGCGGTCGCCGTTCGTCGTCGTCGTCGACGTCGTCGTCGCCGCATTCGCTTTCGTATTCGTCGTCGCCGTAATACCGAAGACATCATGGAAGGTCTTCGTTTATATAATAATAAAAAAGGAGGACCCATTCCCTTGGACAAGTTTTCGTCCAAGACTGTTTTTTGCAGTTCGCGGGGCCCAGCGAAGGCTTGGGGCCGAAAGCCACGACAAAAACTTACGAATTTCCACCATGTTGGAGGTCCGGGATGGTGGCGGCGGTCGACGACATTCGGCGGCGACCGCCGGCGGCGGTTTCCGCAGCGGCGCCGTACGTTGCAGCCGCCGCCGTGGCGGGCCCGCCGCCGTCGTCGCTGTGGCACGTCGCCGCTGTAGGCCGCGGAGGCGGAGGCGGCCGCTGCGGCCGTGGCGACTGGCGCGGCAGCGACCCACGGCGGCGGCGGGCCCGGCGCCTGCGAGGCCCTCCACCTCCACGATTTCCACGCGCACCGCCAGGCGCCCCTCGGCGGTGTCGGCGCCCTCTGGCAGGACAGCGCGCGCGCGCGGCGAGGGTTTCGGCAGCGACGGTTTCGGCGGGCGACGGCGGCGCGTGGACGTCGACGGACGGGCGGCGGCGGCGGCGGCCATCGACCAAGACGGGCGCCAACGCAGGCGCCGTCTGGCTGGATCGCGCGCGGCGGCGACGGCGACCGATCTGGACGAGCCTTCTGATAGCCTGGGGATGGTTCTTGCAGGGTCTCTCGTGTGATGTAACGATTCGTTCTGCGGGTCCATATTCCTAATCTCTACGGCGGGCTCGCGTCGTGACGACCCAAGCGTTAATTCATGACACCACGTGGAGCGATCAACCTTGCACGATCGCGGCTCTCCGATAGCGCAGATCGCTCGATATCACGATGTCAAGCCATTCGCGGTTTTAGTCGCAGCGGCGACGAGCGGCGAGCGGCGAAAGGCGCGTCGGCGTCAACGGACGGGCGGCGGCGGTAGAGGCGACCGACGACGTGGACGGCGACAGGTATCGACAAACGCCGACGACGACCCTTCCCAACATCTGGCGATCCATGTTTTTTTCAACACGCAGCCTCAGGTCCACGTTCCAGGCTTTCGCCCCAGATCTAACCGATCTCCGTCCCCGCCAGCCCGCCATGTTGGGTGGGGTACGGGACAGGACAGGAACGGCGTGCGCAGAGGCGCGCCCTGTGTGGGCTGCCGCGGGCCTCCTCGCATTCTCGCACAGCACCGCGTTCTCACAATCTCACATTCTCTCACTCTCACATTCTAATCCGCCCATCTTTTGTTGGGTAGGGGTAGGCCATGCCAAACCCGAAGGGACAAACAGATGACCTCGACTCTAAGGGGGTAGGCTGGCCAGTGGGACAAAGGTAACGCCAGTGGAGAAACATATTGGTTTCACAATGGCGGCTACAAGAGGTCTCGACCCATTCCCCGGGAGCGGCGCTTTGTCCTGAGCCGGTTCTGCACGGCCCAGGGGCCCAGCGAGGACCCCAGGAGGCCGAAAATACTCCACAAATCTCCCGCGGCCATTTTTTCGAGAAGCGAGGGTTATTTTCATAATGAAAGAAAACTGGAGTTCAACGCTGCGCGCCGCGCGCCTGATTGTGTGAGCCTCGCAGTCGCAGCGACGAGGGGCGGCGAGCGGCGGCGGCGCGTCGGCGTCGGCAGACGGGTGGCGGCGGCGGCAGCGACCGACGACCTGTCCACCGAAGGCGCGGGCGAACGCCAGACGACGATCGACCCTCCCCAGCATCTGGGCGACGAAAAAGAGCGGGTCTTACGTGAGATGACGTAGCGACCTTACGCAGCGACTTGCGCGGGCCGCCGGCGCGGCGCGCTCCGTTGGAGACGAGGGCGCTGACGCGCGACCTTACGTGGGCAGTTTACGCGCCCTCCTCCTCCCCCTCCTCCTCCTCCTCCTCCTCCTCCTCCTCCTCCTCCTCCTCCTCCTCCCTCCTCCCCTCCTCCTCCTCCTCCTCCTCCTCCTCCTCCTCCTCCTCCTCCTCACCCCCTCGTCCTCCTCCTCCTCCTCCTCCTCCTCCTCCTCTTTTGCTTGCGTCGCCCGTCTGGCGACTCGATTGTTTCCATCAACGGCCCCAAGAGGTCTCGACTCCTTCCCCAGGGCCCGTCTCGCGCCCCGCATCCACTGCCGATGGCCCCGAAGGCCCTAAGAGCAACCCGCTGATGCACAAGTCCATCAAGAGTGCCGCGACGAGAAACCATATCATGTCGTCGGAGATCTGGGAAGGAGGGAGGAGGAGGAGGAGGAGGAGGAGGAGGAGGAGGAGGAGGAGGAGGAGGAGGAGGAGAAGCAGAGGCGTCGGGGTCATGGGTATTGAAGTCCCCGTCGGCCGCTCGGGACGATTCGGGCACCCGCGAACCCTCTCGACGAGCTGCAGCTGCTGGGAAGCACCCCGAGGCTGGGAAACCTCCAAGGACCGACCCTGAGATCCGAAGTTTGGGGCCTGGGAGCGGAAGGATCCCCAAGCATCCGCCGCCTCGATTTGTTCGAGACGCGGGCCCCCGACGGTCCCGAGGTCCAGGAAGGGCCCCAAGTGGCCGAGAACTGTGAAAAGCCGCCGTACCTATGTTTTCATGGCCCAAAGACAACAATGTGTAATATGCGCTGGCGTTTACAGCAAGACACAACACGAAGCCGAACGTTTTAAACGAGCGTGTAACACGAAAAACGAACTCGGCCTGCGGCTGTGGCTGAGGGCTGGGCCAAGGTGGGGGACGAGATTATGGCTGGGGCTTGTGCCAAACAAAAGAAAGGAAAGAAACGAACAACGAAACGACTGCCGAATCCGTTTCCAGTACGGCTCGCGCGCCACAGAAGGTGCCTCACGTGCGGGTGGGTCACCAAAAAACTGGTTGAGGAACTCCTATTGTTTCACTTGCATGCTGGGCCTCAACATTAAGTGAGGCATTCCCACACAATACGTCTCCCGTAGGGGCGCGCCCACAAGAAGAGGGGTCACCAGACAACTGGTTGGGAAACAACTCGCTGTTTCGTCTGCGTTCTGGGCCCTAACATGAGGCGATACGTTCCCCCGCAGCGCGTTTCCAGCAGGGCGCACGCACCACAGGAGGGGTGCCCCACGGGCGAGTGGGTCCCCAGAAAACTTGGTGACGACAAAACACCTGTTTCGCTTGCACTCTGGGCCTCGACAAGCGGATCTGTGTCCTCGGCCGCTCCCGCGCCACGCGCTCCCCGCACAACGCGCGCACCACCGGATGCGCCCCGCGGGCGGGTGGTTCACCAGAGAACTGGGTGAGAAGATCCGGCAATTTCACTTGCAGCGTGGGCCTCAACATGCTCAGGTGATGCACTCCCACGCAACACGTCTCCCGTAAGGCGCGCGCACACCAAAAGTTGACCCGCGGGCGAGTGGGTCACCAGAACACATGGCTGAGAAGAACCGATTATCTCGACTGCGTGCTGGGCGTCAACACGAGGTGCGGCATCCTCGACCACTCCCGTGCCATCCGTTCCCCGTACGGCGCGCGCACCACAGGAGGTGCCCCACGAGCGTGAGGGTCACCAGAAACCTGGGCGAGAAGCACAGCTTGTTTCACTTGCCTTCTGGGCCTCAGCACGAGGTGATGGAATCCCACTCAAAATAATGTCCGCGCGGCGCGCGCAACACAGAAGGTGCCCCACAGGCGTGTGGGTCACCAGAAACCTGGCTGAGAAAAGCAAGCTGTTTCACTTGCATTCTGGGCCGCAACATGCGGTGAGGCATTCCCGCTCAATCTGCTTTCCTGTAGGGCGCGCGCACAAAAAGAAGGTGCCCCACGGGCGGGTGGGTTACCAGAAACCTCGGTGAGAAAAACGATGTGTTTCACCTGCGCGCTGGGCCGCAGCACGAGGTGAGGCATGCCCGCGCAATACGTTTCCCACAGGGCGCGCGCACAAAAAGAGGTGACCCACGGACGGGTGACCCCAGAAAACTTGTTGAGAACAACTCACTGTTTCGCCTGCGCTCTGCGTCTTAACATGAGACGATACGTTGCCCACCGTTCCCCCGCAATGCGTTTCCCGTAGGGCACGCGCACCACAGAATTTGCCCCGTGGGCGGGTGGATTCGCAGAGAACCGGGTGAGAAGTGACAGTTGCTTCGCTTGCCATCTGGGCCTCAGCACGAGGTGATGCATTCCAGCGCAATGCGTTTCCAGTACAGCGTACGCGCCGAAGAAGGTGCCCCACTGGCGGGTGGGTCACCAAAAATCTGGCTGAGACAAAAAGAACTGTTCCACTTGCATTATGGGCCTCAACATGAGGCTATGTGTTCCGGATCATTCACCCGCAGTACGTTTCCCGTAATTGCGGTGCGCGCACCACTGAATGTGCCCCGCGGGCGGGTGGGTCACAGAAAACCTGGGTGGGAAAAACCAAAATGGTTTCACTTGCATTCTGGGCCTCAACACGGGGTGATGCGTTCCCATCCAAAACGTTTCCCGTAGGGCGCACCTCACGCCACCACGGGAAAATGGCCAAATCCTGCTGGTCAGATTCCGCTTTTGGCGTATCATCCAACCCCCCCCAAAAAACGATGACGAAAATCGAAAAGAACACCGGGAACTAAGGCTAGGGCTACGGCAGGGGCTGGGGCCCAAGCTGAAGATCGGGCAAGGAGAGCAACAACAATATCAGGGGAGAAAACAGCGAAACGAAACACGGAACTTTCGCCTGCAACTGTGGCCAGGGCGAGGGGCGAGATTCTGGCGAAGGCTTCAGCAGAATTGAAGGCACACAGAAACGAGACGAAAGACAAACGAAACGAACGCCCAGAACTATGGCTGGGGCTACGGCAGAGGCGGGGTCCCAGGCTGAAGCTCAGAACCACAACACCGAAACGAACAACGAAACGAACGCCCAAGAGTTATGGATAAAGAGCGAGGGGCGAAATAATGGCTGGGCCTCGGGCCACCTCGGGCCAACATCAACAACAAAACGAACAACGAAACGAGTCATCAAACAAGAAACGGAATTCATATCAAACGCAATCAGAAAATCGAGAGATCACGGCGGCGCGAAGCAAAGCGCACAACGAAAACGGCCCGCGGAGTGACAGGAGCAAACAACACGAACACCGAAACGAAACCTTGGGAATCGCAGACAAACAAAACAAACATCGAAACGCGCCCCCAACAAACAACTTGAACGCACAATCCAAACCCATGTAACATAAACATGTAAAAGTTCTGAAACAAAACCGAACCACGAAACAACAAACAAAACAATGGCCAACAACGCTAAACTACTTAAAGATGTCTGGATCTGGGGAAGAAGGACGACGGAGGACCCGCATAGAGGCCTCACAAATGAGGTCCGAGAAATGGGGTCGGAAGATCGCGCTGCATCGCCGATCCATCGCCGATGCATCCGTGATGCATCCGTGATGCATCGGCGACGTTGGCGACGCATCGGCGATCTCGTCGTGGCGAACATCGGGCTCCACCATGAGCCGCACCGTCGATGCGTCGGCGATGCGGCGCGA